GGTGTGTAATTTATTATAAAATACTAAGCTAAATACGTAATTATCTGGCTTTTGTATCTTTAATCTGAATCGAATAGAAGTAAGTTGTTAGTGGATATCAACATAAGATGAGTTTAAGTTATATTTTCCCACTGACCCTGTCTGAACTTTTGAACAATTTCTGTATGTCACCACAATTTATTCTAAATGAGCAGTGAGCACAAAAAGTTTTTGTTGTAAAGTGTGATGGAGTCAGCGAAATACAAGAATTGTATATTAACTTTTTAGTTTATAAACTATGAAAAAAGTCTTACATGCTGAATTGAAATGAGCAAGTAGTAATATGGACATAATGTACAAAGTTTGTATGAAAGCCATTCTAGTATTTCATAAACTAAGATGTTTATATAAAAGTATATTTGTGTATCCTGAAGTTTGTTAATAAATGTTTCAGTATGCTTGTTAATTCTGAGATTTTACTTAGTTTTGTGGATAATCGTTTTAGTATGTGTGACAACAACCTTATTTAGAGTTTGTGATTTTACTTACATACATTGCTGATAGCATATCAATATGAAGACTCGTATTAGATGGTTAAACACATTTGTTAGAAACATTGATAATCAGTTCACGGAGTCTAATTGAACAGAAAATATACAAGAATTGTACACTAACTGAAATGCACACATGCTATCAAATATTGAGAAATATAATACATATTTGGTGTTTTCTATTACTATGTATAGTGAAAGATCCAGTTAACTACTTTACTAATGCTTAAATTCACTGCCATACAAAAGCTGACCATCACTAGTTAAATTAAAGCATGGTGAAAATTAAATTTATAATCTACTGTTTTTGAACTTATGTAGAAAATATATGATTATGTAGATTTTGAACAATTTATAGTCAATATTAAGTATAATGTAAATATATGTATTATACTTATATCTTGCTAATGAATGTATAATCATAGATAACAAAATATACAATGTATCATGATTAACTTGTTCAACTTTTGTTTTCAGAAAATCTTTTCTGTCATACTGAACTTTGAATTTTATCACTCTCCTCTATTAGTAAATGGTCGAAATACCACCAATAGGGTGATTGTATGTGTTGACCTTTCTATCGTTTGCATTCAATGTTATTGACTCCAGATAGAAGCAGAAATAACACCTATATGTAGTAGTTCATTTAATGTTCAAAATGAAAATATCCACAGAAGGGTAAGAATATAATTTTCTACAATAGTAATTGTTAAACATAGTTATTTACATAGATCCTTTAAAATTAAGCTTTAGCAGAAAAAATCAACTTATAAAACTAAACATGAAAATTGTTATATATTATTTAGATATTTATATAAGCATCCTTTTCAGGATGGATAGATGTTATGTAAAATATTGAATATAGAAAAAAAACCTATAAAACAAATAGAAGCACTGTCAGCCTTATTACATGTGTAATAAGCGTCATTTTCAGGGCGAACAGATGTTATGTAATATATCAATTATAGAATGAATTAGCGATAAGTGTTTTACATATAAAACATAGTAAATGCAAAAAGTATACCATGCAAGATAAATATATTAAACACTATAGAACTAATGAATTAGTGAATTGTTTTATATATAACACAAAAAATAATTGTGAAAGTATGTAAGGTAAGTTATTGGATATAATATTTGCGTCGTTCAAATAATAGATAATATGTATGATATAAACTGACATATGTAACAGTGTTATAATAATTATCTTATTTAAATAATGGATTTATTTGTAAAAGCGAAACAGCAGATGTGTTAAAACACTACAGAACTATCGAAACACTGTCCGACTAGTAACACCATCCGTCGAAAGACCTTGTAATAATAATACCAGCACCATTAGCCTTTGTAAAACATATGTAAGTGAAACTATAAAGTAACTGTCAACATGTATGAAATGAAACTGTTAACTTTTAGTACACATAATTAAATCTAGACATTGATGACGTAATCATATATTGAAACACCTTACGACGAGCTCATTATGCTATTGAACTATCCACCTGGTAATATCATCTGCCTTTGTAAATAATATTCAAAATACAAGTGAAAACTATAAAGTTGATAAGATTGAAATTGTAGATTAAATCGTTTACTTATAAAGCTTTATCGTAATTGTGGTAATTGTAAAACATTGTTATGTAAATTAGATTAAATTATCAATTTTAAAACTTTGATTGTTGCTATAAAGTTGATGGCATGTTGGTCAGCATCACCCTCTGATGGTTAACTTGCGAACTATTTACACAGTTATCATAACAACGCGCCCTCTTTTGCCTCTTCGTGACCAAACAACATGTCCTCGTGCAATGATGTCACCCTCCCGAGCAATTTGCACCTGGTAACACGTTGTGTGGTGAGTAGCACTGAAACTACATGTATTTTGCATATTGTGCAAGAGGTATATAACCCTCGGTTGTGTATATTACCTAACAGATGTGTAACTATTGGGTAATATATATATATATATATATATATATATATACGTAATAGTTATCTAACCCTCTGTTGTGTATATATATTACGTAATAGTTATGTAATCCTCTGTTCTACATATTATGTAATAATTATGTAACCCTTATTCAGCGTTCTTTGATCTCCACTGAGGTGGCATCCTCTGAGCAAAAGACAGTCCCCCTAACTACTTTAGTACAATAACAAAAAAAAAAAATAACGAATCCGCAGTTTTAATTAAAAACCAAAACCAGACAGAAACCGTTAGTCTTTAAGCAGCCTTTTATGTATGCATTAGAAATAATAGTTCTGTGTGTCACACGTGCTTCACATGATATGGTTGAACTGATCGATCCTTTGACCACGTTTGACGGAATCAACATTTCAAGACCCCAGTTCATGTTTGATTCAATCTCTTTACAACAGTTTTTCTCCTTCGTTGGTCATCAGCAATTGACAGCCAAAGATGTTTCTACTAATAATCATATTTTCTTTCGATTATCATCACTGATAACTTTCCATGTTAAGTAACTATTTCTAGTCTGTTAAAAAAATGATCTATATCAACAATTTTCTTGCTTATCCCTTTGTTTTTGCTCTTATATGATGCCTTGCAAATTAAGTATAAAATGACTATATGTCAACATTTATAAAACTTAAGGCTATCCAAACAAAAAAATAATATGATTCCTCTAGACTTCATGTGTTGTATAAACTCATGGAGGTTCCTAATAAAGTAACTTGTCAGCGCATATTAACATCTAATAAAGCAAACTAAGACGAATATTATACTAAATACACATTAGCAATTAAACAATTTATATCTAAAATAAAGATACTATTAACTTATACGAAGTAACTATGCTATCAGAGTAACATACTAATGCACATCATTTACAAAATAAATACTGAAAGAGAGTATAAGAAATTAGATGTTTACTAGATTAACACGCCAGCCGAGACGTTTAGATATGTACCAGGTTAACACGCCAGCCGAGACGCTTAGATATGTACCAGATTAACACGCCAGCCGAGATGTTTAGATATGTATCATGTTAACACGCCAGCCGAGACGTTTAGATATGTACCAAGTTAACACGCCAGCCGAGACGTTTAGATATGTATCATGTTAACACGCCAGCCGAGATGTTTAGATATGTATCATGTTAACACGCCAGCCGAGACGTTTAGATATGTATCATGTTAACACGCCAGCCGAGATGTTTAGATATGTATCATGTTAACACGCCAGCCGAGACGTTTAGATATGTACCAGGCTAACACGGCAGCCGAGACGTTTAGATATGTACCAGGTTAACACGCCAGCCGAGACGTTTAGATATGTACCAGGCTAACACGCCAGCCGAAACGTTTAGATATGTACCAGTTTAACACGCCAGCCGAAACGTTTAGATGTGTACCAGGTTAACACGCCAGCTGAGACGTTTAGATATGTACCAGGTTAACACACCAGCTGAAACGTTTAGACATGTACCAGGTTAACACGCCAGCCGAAACGTTTAGATATGTACCAGGTTAACACGCCAGCCGAGACGTTTTGAAGAATGAAATATCAAAAGAAAGCATTTACTAGAAACTTAAATATAATATCAGAAAAGCATGATAATATAGAGACTTTAGTGACCAATATTAAAATTATTTGGGATTTCAATGAGAACTCTATAATGACCACATAAACAGTGAACTTATTTCAAATACTAATACATAATAAATTAGAATGATTTAAAAGATATGATGTACAGCTCATTTACCTGTTTGAGAAAGGTTAGTAGGTACGGTGTTTGTTGGCTTCTTTACTTCACTATCTTCACATACAAGTATCACGGCTGTGTTAAACGTGAATGTGTTTTTTTCCTGTTCCCCCTTAAATTTCCAATAGCAGTTGTTGACACTGTGTAAAACAAATCGATAAAAGTCTTACTTTACATAATAGGCAGTTTTCTTGTAAATATAAATTATTAGTGGTAAAAAACGCCCATAAAAACCGCAAAACTGAAAATTTGTATGTATCTCCCCATAGCCCCAATGAACCTCCAAATCAAACTTGGTGAACATCTATCCACAGGAGGTGAGTTAGTGGTAAAAAAACGCCCATAAAAACCGCTAAACGCAAATCTGAAGATTCGTACATACCCTCGCATGGACCTAATGAACCTCCATACCAATTTTGGTGCAGATCCACCCACACTCTGCGAAGTAGTTACATGAACATACAACAGACTGTATCTATTTATATAGATACTAAAAAAACACATGCATGTGTTCCTGCAAAAATAGGATGTGCACATAATAATTCTGTCGTCACGTGTTGTAAGCTGATAAACTCTGTATGTAAGTAAATACACACACACACACACACATACACGTAAACATCCTACAGTGATATCGCCAATGATGGGATATTAAGACTAGATAAATATATAAGTTGTGATCCTCCTATACAACAGTGAACACATAAAGCACCAAAGGACATTATTACAACAAGAAACATTTACTCTAAAAATATAGTCTGAGCGTTTATTGGTTTATTTTACTAAATGACGTTTTCTCATTCACATATTTTGAAAGTAACTCCTGTATTTGGAACAAAGCAGATTTCATGATGATTGAACTAAATAAACTTTTTGGGTGTTTTTTGTTTTTATTTGAACGTATGTGGGAAGTTAGGGGTGCTGTCTCGAAGTTTAAAATGTTAGATTATATATTCATTATTTATGTATTACATTGAACGTTTGTCGATATTTCACGCAAGGCTTATTTATGTATTTAGTCCGTACATTTTGATAGTCTTTCAGTGCTTTTGCATGATATTTACTAATAGTTTGCTGAGAGTAAATATGAAACTAATCGCTTCAGGAAAAGTTTGTTTAGTCTAGTATTGAAATTAAAAAAAGCCTGTAGTGTCGGTTGGTATAATTATTTTTCGATTTATTTACGTTCAAAATTTTATTGTAAACCTTTTGAAAACTTTGTAACAAGAACTGTGCTTAAAGAATTTTTTTACTCACATTTATAAATAACCACTTGCTGCTTCATTATATGAGGGTTGTTTAAGCAATATTACAACGCTTTTGGACATGCAAATCATCAAGTCATATTAATACCACAGCCGATATAAAGTCGTGGTGGAACAACATGTATAAGTAATATATTTGCCCCTTGTATGGCAAGTCGATGGTAGTGCTATGTAACCAAAAATTGTAAAACATTGGACGCTTTTCGAAAGGGTATGTAAAAGCCCTTTCCGACGCAAAATATTCATGCACACATATCATAAGGATGCATTCAGATCAGAGATTTAGCATTTGAAAAAAATTGGAATATGGATTAACTTGAGAAACCAAGGTCATCCAGTAAAAACTCTGCAACAAGTCGTACCTTAGCTGTGACAAGCAACATAAGACGTCTCGAGACAGATGAGAATCCAAGAAGATAAAAATCAGTATCAAGAGCCGTCCATCTGCCCCACATAACAGCATGCAACATAATTATAAAGGATAGCATCTGAAACAGTGAAGTGGGTTTTAATGACGTGGTAAGGCTCTCAAAATCGTTTTAATATAACGTACGTAACCTCTGTAGAAACTACTATAATAAAATTTTTAAAAGCAATTTAAAATAAAATATATTCTGAATGAATAATTAACAGCCCTTCAATTTATTCGGTTTTGAATATAAAACGTGTAACGAATTTATTATTATGTATTTATTTTTAGTATGAATTTGTATTTAGAAATATGCATGACTTGTAGTATCGGATATGTGTTGCATATAACGAATTCGTTATATATTTATTTTAATGTCAACGTTTGTTTCAAATAAGTTTATATTTGAGCGCTTGTCCAGCTTACTGTGTTAGTTACGTATGGCGAAACACTCGCCAATTCTCCAAGGTTGTAGAATATTCGTGAACACAAGAATCAATAATATATCCACTTCCGTAACCAGTTAGATATAGAGCCTATAAAAAGAGCAAGGCCAAAAAAGAGAACATATAAGTCTGCTAGAAAACTGTTATAACTGGGTACGCTATAAACTGTGATATTGCTAACCCATACCAACCGGAAATATATACAATATTTGACCAGGAACAGTTATAAATTTCGAACATCAGTGAATTCTCATCAAACGTTAGTATCTTTCCAAAAATATTACCGGTTTCTCATCGGATATTAGTGGTTTTATGAAAATATTATCTTACTTCAATGGTCCAACAATTCAGTGCCTGACAAAGCTAGCTAGCTTCCCGACAATTGTACGTACATCGACTTCAAGTTAACTTGCTGGATATCAAGAAGACTCTGAACTAGGAAGACGATTTTAGGTTATTTGTAAGTTAGTGAAATTTCTGTTTATAAAACTTTGTTTGTAATAATTAATCATAATCGTTGCCTAATAGTGGTCACAAGTAAATAGACACCACCTTTTTCGTCATTTAACTGATTTATGCT